GCCCGAGCATCCGGGCGGCGAGTCCGCCGACTTGGACGAGCCCTGCTTGGAGTCCCGGGGCGACAGGGAGCGTCCGCCGGCCTTGCCGCCCGCCGCCGCCGAGGAGTCGCCGGGGGCGCTGGGAATGAAGTTCTCCCCGTTGCTGGAGAACCCGTTGGGGGGCTTGGAATCATTGACGTGCGGGATGGGGATGGGGATGGGGATGGGCACGGGCAGGGGCACGATCACCGGGTACGGCACGAGCAGGGTGGGGGGCGGCACCAGCGGGGCGAGCGACGGCAGCCCGAAATTCATCATCTGGGGCACCGGCATCGGGCCGTTGGGCATCATGCTCACCGGCGGGAAGGGAAGACTTGGCAGGGGCGCGCCCGGGGGCGGCGGGGGCAGCAGGCCCGGGGGGTTCCCGGGCATGGTGGGGGTGCTCGGGGCGTGGATGTGGGGCGACAGCATGGGCCGGTGCATGGGGCTGGAGGTGGGGCCCAGGTTCCTGGGGCCGCCGGGCGGGGGCCCGATGCCAGGCAGCATGGGGTTGGACAGAGGGCTGTTGGGGTTGGAGGCGTGGTGCGGGGGCCCGCGGATGAAGGGCGGGCGGATCTGCTGCATGATCTGCTGCTCCATGAAGATGGGCAGCGGCACCGGGCCGCGGTTGGTCATCACCATAGGAGGGCTGCGCGGCGGGACGCCGAGGGGAGGTCCGATGCTAGCGGGCGGCTGGACGGAGACAGGAGGGATGTTTGGAGTCTCGCTGATGGGGATGGACTTGGGCACTGGCGTGGGGATTTTAGTGACAGAGCAGTTGGCAGTGTCAGATGGAGAGACGGTGGTGGACGCCGATGGGCCAGGGCCCTGGCTTTGGCCAGCTGCAGCCACCGGGGAGGGGGCCTTCCTCCGAGCATCTGTCAGCGGGATATTCCAAGAGTCTGGCGTGAGCAGCTGCACCCCGGTGCCTTCTGCTTTATTTTCCATGGGAGGGTGTAATGTACTGCACAGCCCAGCTGGAAGATTGGCCTGTGTCTCTTTGTAGAAAATGTCCATTTTGTATTGATTGAGACATTTTGCACTGCAGAACTGAAGCCTTCTTTCCCCGTCCCCAAAATCCAGGTATTCTTTTGTGTGTCTTATGTGCTTACACCAGTCACATACCTACAACACAGTAACGAGAAACCACAACAGGTAAGATAAGCAACTTCCTGGGGCAGATGGCGTTTCATGTTTCACACAAAGGCTCGCTCAAACTTTATCACAATTTCTCAAACAGGCTGAAGTGCTCTGTTCTAAAAGGTAAACTTCTGAGATATTTGTGAAATGATGGCTTTGCTTTATAAATACTAACTTTGGAATAGCAATGATCACAGTCTCTTACTCTCTTTTAAGAAACTGTGTTGTCAAGCATGGCTGGAGATGGTTCTGACAAAAAGAAGGACATAACCTGCCCTACAGAGCTGCCCTCACATTTTCACCTGTCAAAGAGGCTCACTGTGAACACAAATCTAAATAGTTTTGGAGGGAAGGATTCTCCAGAAAGGTTAGTGGATGTGAAACATAACCCCTTAAAATTCTCCTCACGCAAAGTCACTTTAAACTATCAACTGTGTCCAATAATGCAGTTGGAAAGGGTGTGCTGTGTTAACCAATAACACAAAGCACTGAACATCACTATGTCTGGCTTCCAAGGAGAAACTTGGAATTAGTCGTGAAGTCTGTGTGAGGTTTAGCTATTCCCAACCTGTGATGTTGCAGCAAGCTAGAATTATTTTTTGAGCTGTTTGCCCACTCCTTCTCAGTAGTCAGAATTTTTGGTGACATTTCTTGGCAGGCAGTCTTATTTAACAACTTTTCAAGCACCAGAGAACATTTTCCAAAAGTTGTTATGTCTCCCCTCCCCCTTCAAATCTACTCCTGGCAAAAGAAAGACAACGCCAAATTTATTTTAAAGTTGGGCTGCAGAACTAATTAAAGGCTGAGAGCTTTTCCCAATTGGAAATCACTAGACATCAAAGTTCAAAAAATAGTCATTCTCAGCTTCGGAACCCATTACTTTGGAGAAATTATTGTGATTTCATTAACACATTAATTTTGCAACACCATCAGCTCTCACAGATGGTGAAGACATGATCTACAATTCAAATATGACTCTTGTTTGCACAAATGTCTTTCCTTCATATGGCATTTTAAACAAGAATTAATATGAGTAATCTTGCCATAGCTATAAACAGATAAACAGATGTCAAAATTTTCAATAGTTCCTTCAGTGCCTCACTTTTTTTTTGGACAGAATTTTACACACACAATCTTTTCCTTCTTATTATTATTTTTTGTCATATCCTCAGCATTCAAGCCACAGAGCAGCAGAGGAAGAACTAAAATTCAGTCAATGGTGGGATTATTGAACTCTAGTTTCCCCCCAATACTGTCCTAATGGGACCCTGTTTTTGTTGTACAGAGTCTGTTCCATTGGTGTGAGTGCATTTCTAAAACTACTGTAAACTGATAAAATGAAAAGATGATAAATTTTAATAATGACTGGTCACATAAACAATGCAAAAACAACATATGCTGGGCATTTGATTACTCATCTCACTTAACTCTCAGCTCTCCTTGACTGTAAACAGTAGCAGCGTGCTGGCATGTGATTGTGGGCGAACGCGGGCATGGCAGATGTGGGTCTGTACGTGTACATCCCCTCTTTCCCTTCTCACTTTTTCGCTGATATTTACAGGTAATAAACTTGACAGTGTGAGAGTGAATAAAATATACTCATTGGCTCCACTGGTTTTTCTTGTCTGCTGTCATATCAAATTGCCCTTTCAACATATTTTTTGCAAAAATTTGAGGACATTTTGCTGAGTGCCATTTAATGATCAGAACACCTATTCTTTCAACTGCAGTCACTAAAGTATTAAAAATATTTTAAATGTTCATATTCACCTGTCTTTTGCTAAGTGTTTCAGATTGCTCTGAATCAAGGGAAGTTTTTACCCTAAGTGAGACGCTCCATTTACAAATACATGCAGAATTGCCTCTGATAAGAGGAGACCCACAAACTCCATCAGACCCTCAAATTTCTCATTTAGATAAAGGCTAAGTAAACTAGTATTGAAAACATAGTACACATACATTACTTTTTAAAAACCTTGATCTTTTTAATAAAGTTAACATATAATGATGTGGCATTTAAATTCCACTGTGAAATAAAACCACTTGCCTCCGTATCAGTATGAGGCCTCCACAGAAAGCCTAAGACATAAATTCATAAGCTTGAAGCTTCTTTTTTTTCTATAATCATGGGCTGAAAAAAATTATCAATGGATTGAACTAATTAAACCAATAAGCTAATTTTCTGGCATATTTCTTTTGGATCTTATTTTTTAACCATAAGGGGAAAAGTTTTCTGAAATTTTTAATTGGTTTTTAAATTCCCAGGTTGAATTTTTGTTTTCCTTCAGAGGATTCCTGTTTCCTCAAGCTAAATACTGTAAATATTTTCAAGTGGAGTGAAATATAATAATAACAATCTAAATACTGTACAATTTCAATGTTCTTTCTTCATCTCCTTCACTTTTAGTAATTCGTGGATGCGTTAGGGATGCTCTTGGATCTATCTGAATCAGTAAGTGAGATTTTCCTCCATATTTTATCTATTTCCACATAAAAGAATTACAGACATCAAAGTTAAAAACAAAATCCTGTTTCATCAAGCTTTCCCACTAAGGCAGAGGCCCAACCTCAGCAGCTTGGTTTTCGGCAACATCCGGAGTGTTCCGGTGGTAGTGTGCTCACCTACAAGGGGCTTGTTCCTGGGTAATGTGAGTGTGAATGTGCGTATCACCTTGCCTTCTTACATTGCAATTCCGAACACTAACCTAAAAATACAGAAAAGCAATCTTTCTGATGAAGCAAAAAATTATTAGAGGGAAAAAACTGTCACTTAAGAAATAATGAATCAAATCTGTCTTACAGGACACATCATTTAAGATGAGGTCAATGAATTTATGGCACAAATGGCTATATCATGTGAGGCAATAAAACACAGGACCATCATTCATTCGACATCTAACTAATGACACACTTCTAGTAATTAAAGATTTCATCATAAGAGCCTGAGCTGATTACTTAAGATGTGGTGGCTGGGTGAAAATATATACTACATCTCTCTCTTTAATAAAGTAACATTTGCATGCCTGTGAAATACAATGCACGTGACTCATAAAGTGTGGTTTTCTTAATTCTGGTATGGGGGGGTATTCTTCCCTTCCACAGATGGCTTTAAATTGTATTTTATTTTACTTTTCGAGGCACTATTCTTTCCCTCATTATGCCAACAAGTACCAAAATTCCTTCAGACATTTTAAAAGATAAAGATTAAGAAGCGCAGAGCTCAACTCCCTGGGTTCTGGAATGATTTCTCCCTAATTCCTCCCCAGCTTTGTTTCTGTTGGAACCTGGCCTCTCTGGTTCCCCTTCTCTCCCTAACAGGTCCCAGATTGGATGGAGGCTGCTGCTGTTTAATGATGCCAATCTGGGGACCGAACAATCAGCAAATGCAATGCCATTGAGCAAGACAGCTGAAATGCTTCGTATCACAAATACATAATGTATCACCAGGAAGACAAAAAGATCACAAAGGAGATAAACAAATGTGTGTTCCATTCAACCCTAGAACAGCAGTCCTCAAAAAGATTAAATTTACCTTCCTGGGATGGGTCCAATTTTAAACAACAGAATGAACATTTCCTTTAGTCCATTTAGAGTATTTATATTTTGGTGGCTGGCTGCCAGGGTAGTACTTATAAGCTCAGTGGCCTGATGGATTCACTCCTTTCCTGTGAAATAAATGTGTGGCAACCTACACCACTAAACTGCTCAAAAGACACTGCCTCAGCAGAAATAGCACTTGCTCTTGATACCAGAAAACTGAAAGGCAGGACTTCTGGTTCCTATAACTCTTTCCATCTTGTATTTCCCTGGAAAGAAAGAAAGCTATTCATGTTGGCAAGCGAGCCTTCATTTTTATATAAACGTCCAAAGTCAAAGCCAAAGTATGCCATGAGGTTACCCACATGGGCATGATATATACATTCTGCTGGGTTTAAGAGAAGATTCGGGTAACTGGGGGAGAGGGCAGGGTTTCTAATTAACACATTAATCAGCTGTCGGCTGTGGGAGTAAAGTTCATGCTTTAATGGAACCCACCGCTGCCTTCGGAGTGGTAATCTAGCACCAGGAAATATTTAATTAAGAAACCCTCTTGCTGAAACATTTCTTCTCTGGGCAAAGATGTTTGCAGCAATGGAACAGTAAAAAGATATTAGCATCTGCTTGAATGTCATCAACAATTTGAAAACAGAACATAAAATCTTCTTGTGCGTCTGACTTTCCACTTACACAGCACCCGGGCAACAGCTCTGGAGATGCAGCTCCTTAAGCAAAATGGCATTTTGTCACAGGAGCGTGGTTCTGCAGGCCTTGGCATGTTAAGTGGAGCATCTTGTAGTCCATGCCCAGCTCAAAGACTCATGAGCTCATTCGGGACTGAAGTGAAGGAGCGTGGAGAGATGTAGGTGGGGTGTTCTGGGCTTTGGCTACTGCCCTACCTGTTTGCAGTCACCTCCCAGCCTGACCCCGCCTGAGCACCTGCTCCTGGCCCTGCTCTGCAGAGCCACGTCCCAGCATCCAGTGTTACTTTGGGTCTTGGCAGTGCCTCCCACAACACCCTAGTTCTGTGCACCTAGTGGCAAAGGATGCTACAGAAATCACATGAGAACTGGACTCAGATGTGGGTGTGAGTCTGGGCTCCATCACTTAATAATAGTGCAACCTTATGCAGTCTCAGCCTCGTTTTCTTCATCCATAAAATGGCACTAATGGTAATAATAATTTTCTGCCAGGCGTATCACTAAGCTTATCACCTAGTGTATCTTTTTAATTCCCAGCCTGCTCCCATCCAGGTTGCTGATGGCACCTATGTCTTCAGTTCATTTTCTGCGGAGGATGGTTCTATGGCTGTTCAGGGAGGAGGAACAGAGCTGGCTTTCCTGGGAGCATGTGTGACTGTAAGAGAAAACGGGGCATATTTTTCTCTGGACAAATGCATGATGTGTCTCTCAGACACCAGCTGGGCTCTGCTTCCCAGGAGGCTCTGT